ATCCTTTATGAAGGTATCGAAATGGCGAATCAGCTATTGAGGAGAAGTGTAGTTTTGCTAGCAAAGTGATCGAGATTATAAAAAGGAGGTGGAACACCAAATTTGGATGTCTAATTCATTATGCTGGTAAATATATATTTATATCATTAGAATGTTTCATTTTAAATCATTTTTTTATGAAATTGTAAATGACATTTTCTATCTATATATTTTCTAGGTTACTACTTTAACCCAAAATTTTTCTACTTGACACCTGAACATCCCTACAAGATTATGGAAGGGGTCAGATACATTATTGCAAGGTTAGAGATAAGCCATCGAAACCAAGTAGCAGCAATACAAGAGGTATTATTTAATTTTTGGGTAAGAACTTCATTGAGTTATTATATTTGTGAGGAATAATGCACTAAAACGAAATATATTTGTTTTAGCTTGCTTTGTATAGGGATGCTATCGGATCTTTCGGAACTAGACTTGCCAGGAATTCTCGAACTAAGATGGATCCAGATTATCCCCTAGCTAATATTTTGTTCATTCATATATTTAATCTTATGAATTGTTCTTGCCCTTACAATGCTTTTTACATTTTAATCCAGCTGAATGGTGGGAGATATATGGTACTGATGCACCTCACCTAAAGAGGATAGCAATCAAGGTGCTCTTCCATACATGTTCTGCTACTGGCTATCAGCACAACTGGAGTACGTTCCAATGGTTGCACACTACTAGGAGGAATCGACTCGCTTCAGAGAAGTTTCATAAACTAGTCTACGTTTATTACAACTTAAACCTCCGAGAGAGGCAAATAAGAAGGAAGCTTGAAGACTATGGGCTGATAGACTTAGACACAATATTTGTCACAGACACATCAGACCAATAGGTAGCAGAAGAGGAGGAGCCAGTGTTGCACAAGAGAGCGTTCCTTGAGGCTATCCGTGTGGAAGATCTTGAAGAAGATGATGAGCAGCATGAAAGAGGAAGCAGTCAGCCAACGTATCCACAATTCGTCGGTGATATTGCACCTAATGAGGGAGAGTGGGAAGGGGGTCTCAGGGAAAATAAGAGAGATGATGATTCTTAGGCCAGCCATATTATTCACATATCGAGTCCCAACAGCAACAGGGTAGGGATGAGTACGGCAGTGTAGGTGAGCATGAAGGATGGATAAGCTTCGAGGATTTTCAATTGAAAACACAACAGAACACTAACACTCAGGGATTTTGGTATAGGTAGACGCCTGCTAATATCGATGCTTCATTTTTAGATCGAATCAATGAATTGTCAAACGAATTCAATCAATGGTACAAGCGTGACCAAGAAAAAGAACGACGTCGTCTGTCATTTTAGTTTTAGTTCGTACGTTACTAATTGTATGTTTTATTGTAGTCCATATATGTTAATATACTTATTCCATGATAATTCTATGTTTATCCCTTTGTGTAATGTAAATTAAATGGTAAATAGTAGTTTATGTAGGGAAAGAACATATCAATATTAGCATATTCATGCAAAGAAATGAAAAATCTTAATGAAGTACCCTCATTTCCTATTGAATCCTAAAAAACAATATTTATAATGAATTTTAATAATTTTTTCAAATTTTTTTGAAGCTTTAATCTGACCGATTCCCTATCCGGTTCGCCGATTTGGATCGGTTTTTGATGTACCCGATCATAGTCACCGATCCGCTTTTTAAACCATTGATTTTAAGTGAATTTTTAAAGTGCGCCTTGATTTGATTGTTTAGGGCCTCACCTTTTTATAAACTTTTTCCTAACTCACGTTGCGACCCCTAGTGAAATCAGGTGATTTGGGAGCTCTTGCCTAAAGGGGGAGTTCACAATCCAAGGAGTACATCATGAACTTTCACAGAGTTGGCAACTAAAGAAATCTAATCGGTGGACTCTTCGGAATAATGGAAACCGACGAAATCCAATCGGTGGACTCTTCGGAATAACAGCAGATCAATCTCAGAACTCAAAGGGGGAGGAAGGTGTAGCCGGATATGGTGAAATTTTGAGAAGAATACATTTGTTTTCTACACTAGTTCTGCAAATGAGGCAAAACTTTTAGCAGTAAAAAATGGAGTTCGAAGTCGTATGTAAAACCATGAAAAGGCGATTATTGAGGGAAACTTTGTGATTGTTATCATGTGTTGTAGTGAGCCATAAAAGACCCATGGTAGGGGCCAAGGATTATTGATGAAATTCAACAAATTTGGAGGCAAAGGTAGGTAAGATTCTAATTCGAAGGGAAAATGATGGAGTTCGATCGTAGTAGTAGCACCATTTGAACCCCAGTTAAAGTCTAGACTTTCATTCTCACACACCAGATTCAAAAATCACTAACGATCTCAAAATACGAGGAAAGTCGCGTCATCCCGACTGAATTAGAGACGGACCAACTAGCAAAGAAGGGACCTACTTAACTAGCGCCCGGAGGGAAGGAAGCAATAGGCAGTGTTGGATAATGGCCCATGCCCCCAGCCGAATACTCGCCCGAGTAGGGCCACTACTAAAAAAAATAAAATATAAAATATAAAGTATTCTAAAAAATAGAAAAATATCATTAAAGTACACAATTTAACAAAATACAACGGTTAAAAAAGTGACAAAAAAATAGATTAAAAAAAGAGAGTTTGTGACTGAGGGTATTTTTGAATTTTTTTTAGAAAAAATGGAAAAATATAAAAATTAATATTTTTTCAATCTTTGTCAAAATCATATAAAATATAAACAAACATGTTACAAATATATTTATTATTTTTAAATGTTTATATTTTTTTTCAAAAAATTGAAAATTCCCTAATTGAACATCCAACTTAAGCACAACAAAGGCCCGAGCCCGAATAAGTCGGCCAAAAGTACAAGTTTCCGATTGCTGGGTTTTAAAGCCATCTTCGATATCAAAACTTCATCTTCCAACAAAATTTAGAGATAGAATGGTTGTACAGCATAAGATAGGTACCTTATACAAAATTAAACCTCATGAGCACTAACATCCATATTCATATATGATGATCTATGTTAAAAACAATATTTACAATATAGTTAATCTTAAACACCCAACAATTGGGTCATCTCCTCTAATAACACGGAGGCACATAGTTTAGAGAGAGAAAAGGGGAAAATAAGTACAATATCTCAATCTAGAGCCCTGTAAATCCCTTAGAGAGAGAGAGAGAGAAAGAAAGACCCCTCTTAAATAGGGGCACCCCACTTGAGGAATGAGAGTAACATCCCACATAGGGCATGAGAGAAACCCTAAAAACATGTGAAATAGGCATAACTATGCTTAGAGAGAGAAAGAGAGGCTTAGTTAGGATGAGAGAGAGAGGCTAAGAGCATGTGAAGTAGGCATAATTAGGTTTCTCTCTCTAGCAAGTCCATAGAGTCTCACTCAGGTTGGGTTGGTCCACCTCTACAGCAAACATGGACTTGGCATGGTGGACCCCATGCTTATTCGGAGGCAGGGACCCATCCATGGGCCCACCAACAAGGCTAGAGAGCATGGAAGCACGCATGCGCAATTGCACCACCTCAGCCTGGGTAAGAGCCAACTGCGTTTGCAGGGCGTCGATTTGTTGTTGGAGGGACGAGATCGCCCCGACGCAACCGTACACTGGATCACGGACCCTCGCGTTCGCTTCATACACCATGCTGCTCACTGCATCTCCGCGTTGGTGCTCTGGAAGCTCCTGATGCCATGAACCAGGAATGTCAGTCTATCACCATGAAAACAACATCTTACCCTCCATTCCCACCATTTACATATCACAGAAACCATTATCATATCAAAAAAAAAAGTCTAGCACCATCACCATGACTTATTACAGATATGGTAAAGTTTATCCTTAAGAGAGCTACACATAAATAGATATTTTATTTTTCCCTTTTTTATTTTATTTTAATTTTTAAATAAAACTCTAAACATCATGTTGATGTTGTGGTACCACCACCTTGTATTATAGCCTATTATCAAGGTGAATATTTTAAGGCTATTGCCGGTGTTTTCAAAAAGCGCTAGGCAGCATCTAGGTGATCGGACAGCCTAGGCGGGCGGGTAGACCTGGGCGGGCGGGCAAACTTGGGCGGCCTAGTAGAATTGTTTTTTTGGATATTCTCTTTCTAAAATAGCATTTAATAGGTTTTAGGTTTAAAACAAATCTAAAACCCGTAATTTTACCTTTTTTGTATTAAAATAAATCCAAAAAATAAGCCGTAATTCCACCCCTGGACACCGGCTTAGATGGGTTCCCAGACGCCTAGGTGATGGCCAAAGGACATTCGCCTAGCTTGACCACCTAAACCAGGGCACACGCCTAGTTTGGCCGCCTAGGCCGGAACGATGCACCCAAGTCTTCTGGACGCCTAGACGTTGGGCCGTTCGCTTTTTTAAATTATAGCTATTGCAATCAAGTTTTCGTGCACCTGCAACTCAAAGCTAAGCTCTATCTTGGAGGTGGATTGAGGAGCCAAAAACTATTTCTGATCACTTACAAAGTCCATTTCTGCCTCTAAATACTAATTTCGAAGCTCCAAAAATATGGAGATATGACATTATTTGAAAAAAATACAAGATAGATTTTTTTTGATGGGCGAGAGAGAGGAAAGAGGTCTCTTGTGTGGTCTTGTTAGTAAAAAGAGAGCGCAAGAGAGAGGTCTACTTGACGAAGAGGTGAAGCAGGACTTAAGGATTATAGAAACTTCACAAGTCCTACTATTTCGCAACAAATATGTTCGCGCGCATGAGCATGTTATGAGAGAGTAGATGAGAGAGAGAGGTCTATGAAAGGAGAAAGTTAAGAGAGAGAGAGAAGTTTATTTGATGAGAGAGAGAGGTTCAGTAGATGAGAGAGAGAGGTCTATGAAAGGAGAAAGTGATGAGAGAGCGAAGTTTATTTGATGAGAGAGAGAGGTCTATGAAAGAGAGAAGTTTATTTGATGAGAGAGAGAGGTTCAGTAGATGAGAGAGAGGTCTATTAAAGGAGAAAGTTATGAGAGACGTTTATTTGATGAGAGAGAGAGGTTGAGTAGATGAGAGAGAAGAAGAGAAGAGAGGCCAAAGTCCTTGGTCAAGGGAAAGGGGCCCACACAGTCATTTCCTACGGCACGTCTGTATCATCATCACGTATGTATCCAAGATATAAAGCAATCAAATTAAAGCAAGCAAAAGATAAATAAAGTGAAATTTGCCTCCTAAAATACCATAAATCAATATGACTATATTACCCTTATATTAAAGCAGGCTGAATATTCCCAAATTGCCCCCACCCCGCATCGGCTTTTCTAAATTTAGCCTTCAAAAGACACCGGAAATTTTTTGGAATTGGGTCTTCTATGTATCCTTATTTGGAAAGAGGTTGGTTTTGTTAACGTTGTAGTCCCAATGGAGGCCCAAACCCGTCATGAGCCTTTGACAATTAGGCTTCCGCCCGTGACATCAATAAGTTATCAAAAGCATATCTTTTATGAGCGTAACTAATAGGATTGTATAATGCAAGACTATTCGCACCGGGTAGATCATACTTACAATAGTAAATTTTATTGGAAAAATTTTATGTCGGACTTTGTACTCAACTAATAACACATATCTAAACGACCTGATTTCACATGTTACTATCAATAATAATTATGATGTCTTTGTATTAAAAATAAATGCTCTTAGGTACAATTTTTTGAACGGATGTAATTAGGTTTAAAACACATACAAATAGTAAGGACGCATATGTCGGATAATATTTTTTCTACAAGAAAAATGGATATGCAATCCCAATGTACCTTGCAACTCAATGACAATCTCGAGCCCAATAAGCCCAAGCCCATAGAACCCCAACTAACTAGAAATGTCACCAAAGACGAAGGGAAAGAAGGTCAAATTAGATATTTCTCTGCGCGGAAAGGGGCAAGAGCTCATTAAAAAAGTTGGGATAATGCCAACTACTATGATCCATATGACCATAGAGAGAGAATGGCTATAGGTATTATCCCCTTCCAACCCATGAATGAAGGGTGATGGAGGGAAAGAAGACCCAGCCAAACAGTAATGACTCAAATGGTAGGTCTTACTCTCCTCCATTAAACCATTGATCCGACGGTGATGGCACCTATAACGCCATAATTAGCATCTCTGCATGATCATAAGGATCATACATATTGGAGGGTGAAATAGTCGCACACAAAAACCAGTCGGGCAATTTGTCATTTCGAAAGAAGAATGAGAGTTTTTAGAGTAAGAAAGAAGGCCAAAAGGTGTGATTTTTAGTGAGAGAAAGTGGACTAACCTGGAGCATCTTGTTGACATTGCTAGCACCAAACACCTTGTGAACATTTGCAAACTTTTGGGGCTCATCAGAAGGGAAGTAGGGTGCAAAAACACAGTCTTGGGCGCACCTTCGCCTCAGTAGTTTACAAGCGGCGCATGGAGAAGCTGCACTTTGCTTTCTTCCTGTCATTTCCCTCATCTTCCTACCACTTAGATCTCTTTCTCTCACTTAAAATTTAGGGAAACTGCCTCCAAATTTGATGTGGGGATCTCTGGCTACTGTGAGATGGACCAAGAGGTGGTGGTCCTTAGGGGTGGGTACCCTAAATTTGGGGTGTTGGGGACTTAATTCATGTCCTAGAATAGAGATGCTTTCCCTTGTGTGCGCAGAGAGAGAGAGAGAGAAAGAGGACTCCTCTTGATTAGAGGAAAATGAGCTCTAAACTTTGGGGGGATCCTCAATTAGAGTAAACTAAATTTCTAGAGGAAAATGAGGTGAAAAAATGGCTTTGAAGTAGAGGAGGGTCAGCCAAAATAGGGAGAGTGCCCTTGAATCAGAGGGAAGTGCCCTTCACTAGACTGGAAGGGCTCTTGTTCTAGAGGAAATTACTTTTGCTAGAGATGACCCAAATGAAAGTGGATACCCTTAGATTCGGAGCTCAAGTCCCATTAGGTACAGCAAGGTGCCCTTAAACTCAATGTGGGTGGTTTCAAGTAAGGTGCTGGTGCCTCTAAATTACAAGAAGTTTGGTGGTGAAGAGAGAGAAAGGAAGATGTGCAATGTGTGTTGCAACAGAACAGGAAATTTATAGAAGAGAAAGAAAATGTGGTTTAGAGAGAGAAAGGGAAGAGCGGTGAGAGGGGAAGGGGGGACGATGGTCGCATTTAAGCACTGTGAAGATATCTACAATGGGTCCCACCTCTAGAGAGAGAGTAGATTTTCCACGACAAAGCCATCGCGTCGACAAGATATATTTTAAGCATTTTTATTTTTTCCCAATTTTTTAATATTTTTTTCACTTCTTTATTGGGGCAAAATCGTGAATATATGATAAAAAAAGCCCTTACTTTTAGCTCAAAATATAGGAGTTATCCTTCAAGTGAAGTTCATCTTTAAAATCAGGAAGGTGTATTTACGATATTTTTAGCTAAAGCCATGGTTATATGATTTTCTCGCACAAGATTCCAACTTTGGTGCTGTCATGGTAAGAGAGAGAAAGGAGGGGCCGCGAGAAAGAGGAGAGAGAATGGAGCGAGGTGTTTAGAGAGAGTGAGAAAGAAGAGAGAGAAGGAATCCAATACATGTTGGTATAGAGAGAGAGAGAGAGAGAGAGAGAGAGGAGAGGGGGCGGGACGTAACGTGAGAAACGGTCAACCGCCACGGGGAAGAAATCGAGGCGTTTCTGGTAGCGCCGAAAAGCAGTCGGCAATGAAAACTCGGTGTATTTTATGTAAACTCGTCGGCCAATTTCACCGGTCTGAAACTCGGGGCAATGAGTGGCTAACTTTTGATGCTGCTCCATGACTCGGATAAGGGGCAAAAATGTCATTTTTAACCTCATCTTTTCCTTAAATATTGCATAAATGGAATTTGAAGTAAGTTCAATATTTAATATTCATTAAACGAAAAAGTTTATATACACAGCCCAGGTTTTAAACAATCAAACCGAAGCCTACCACAAATATTTTACTGGAAGATGTGGTTTTGACTATCAAATATCTTCAAGTAGAAATGCTAATTATTGTTGATCTTCTTTCACTAAATTACTATAAGAGATTAAGAATTTAATTTTCATTCACATCTTTTAATTTAATTTCAAAACATCCATAAAATAACACATGTCCTTTTGCTGTAGTAGCTTCAAAAGAATAAATTGTTAAATTCTTCAGGTATTTTGATAAATTTCTCATTATTTTTAAATACCATATAAAGTTACAAGGCTATTAAGGTCTCTAATAGTTATGAATAAAAAAAACTTCTAATGACGTGGAAAAAACATCCGATACCGATTTTCTTATTTACTTAAACATTATGTAAATTATAGCCGATATAGGTGCGAAGTGAGAGTCCAATTCGGATATTTGGACCAATAAGATAAAGTATTTTAATCATGGAGTATCGGGGTAAGTTTTTTCAAAGCTTCAAACATGTGTAGGAAGTGATATGAGGAAGGAATATGCCATGAATCGTCAAACTTTCTTTTAAAGAACAAATAAAAGGCATTTGCTTTGAACATCAAATGCTAAAGGGAAAAGTTTATATGAGGTTGCAACCTTAAAATGTAGTATTAGATATACATTTCAAAAATCTATTAGAAATGTTGTTTTAATGTTAAAAAACCCTCAATTTGAGCATCTCGACATCGAGAATATAGATATATACAAAAAAAAAAAAAGTTTTCGAGTGTCAGAAATGGTGCATCTTGCAACACATTATGTAGACCGCCCATTTTCAAGAGTTTCACATGTTTATGGATCTCCTTGATTTTAACCATTTTTAGAATTTAAAATTTTCTAATTAGATATGAAAATAGATTTTAAGATAATCCTAAGAATTTTTTACAAAATAATTACATGTTATTGTAAAATTTAAAGGTAAACATTAAGGTTGAATCTTCCAAAAACCGCACCCAATGCTAAAACATACTATTGTTTTCACACACACATGGAGAGTTAGAGAGAGAAAGAGAGTTTTAGAGAGATGTGGGTGCTTTGGTCAACTTCTTTCGGTGAAGAAGAAGTCTCCAAAATAAAAAACAAACGCATCCCAAGGAGTTGTATCTTTTAAAAGAAGACAAAGGGGCTCCCTTGATTCCAAGGGGTAAGAGCTTATGCAAAATATATGGTAAATAATAATGATAATAATAATATGAAGTTGGTAGCATGTGGAAAAGCACATGGAGCACTTGAAAAGCATGTCCGTCCAACTTGTTGGATGTGCATGTGATGGGGCAAGGGTGCACACTAAGCAAACGCGTAGAAAATGCCTAGGCTAGGCCTTGTCCTTTCACAAACTTACATTCACAATTCAAAGTATCAAATAGCAAAAATATATCTAGTATTATTTTTTTTTATTTTTTTCCTTATGTGTTGACATCAGTGTTTCAAAATTCGGCGATTTGGATCAGAACATGTCGATCGGGATCACGTATAGGACGGATCGGCTTGGGTCAGCTAAAACATATGGAAGACGCTAGAACCGGTCCCACCTTTCTTTCTTCTTTTTTTTTGAAGTTTTTTTAGTTTTTTTTAATTTGTTATTGACCGGTTTACTTGGCTAGATTGTTGATCTAATCTGTTAATCCGCCCAACCGGGCTGGTTTTCTTGATGGGCGATCTGGGTCACGGGTTCGGTTTCTACATCTTGGTTTATATGGATTTTTAGGGAAGGTTTTTATAAGTCGGCCGCCTCTCCTTTTTAAATGAATCCTCTCTCCAAAATCTATATTGAGATGGATTTTAGATTCTAACTTTTATAACTGGGTTTACAGCTACATTCCAACAAATACAAAAGCTTTTGTCTTGAAAACATGAGTATTTTGAACAAAGATAGTAAAAAGTATTTATTTTGAATAACATTGCTTCTGTTCCAATGACAAATTTAAATCATAATATAAAAAAGCTGTTAAATAGTTCAAATATTAAGTGGAGTTTGATCAATTTTCCTTAATAAAATAGTATTTAGATTTCGTATCACTTGGATTTTGTTTTTATTTTTATTTTCAGTAGTTTTGCAGAGGATCGTACTTGGGATGTATAGTTGCAATCTATGTTTAATTTTATTCGTTAATATAATTAAATTAAATTATTTTAAAGTGTTGTCCCTTTATTGTTAATTTTATTCGTTAATATAATTAAATTAAATTATTTTAAATCATTGTCTTGTTATTGTTGTTGTTTTTTTTGGGTAATTTAAGGGAAAAGACATGCCCCTGCCCTTTTTTTTTTTTAATTAGCTATTGTTGTTGTTGTTTTTATTATTTACTGTAATTGTTAGTTTGAACCATAATGAGCAAGTTGAGGAATAACAACAGGTCGACAAACCAAAATATTTGTGATAAAATCGGTTTTGCTCTAAAAAGTCGAAGGCAAAAAATCAGATAAAAAATACATATTGCTAAAAAGTTAGTTAAGTTAGAATTTTGTGAATATTTTGGATTTGGCTAAAAAAAATGGAGTGAAAAAATTGGATATGTAAAGATAACACAATATAAGATTATGAATTGCAATTATTAGATGGATATACTAAAATCATTGAACTATAATTTTATGTCCTCACCAAGTTTTTTTAGAGTTATACTTGATAAATTTTTGTCTAAACTTTTTATAAATAGAACAAAAAGGATTAGTATATTGTCAAGAAATAAACCATATGATAGATTTATTGGGAGGATACAATAAAAAAATACTAAATACCTGTACCATACCAACAAATAACAAGAACGAACCTAAGGTATGGAATTCTTGAAAAGAAAAACAAAAATGACTTTTACTATAGGATTGTAGTTAACTGAAATACAAATATCCAAAAATATAAAATAGTGGTCCATCCAAATTGTTATCTAGTATATAATAATAAAATAAAAAAATTTAAAAAGTAAAATTAATTAAATTTTTATATATAAAAAAAAAGCAACAAAATACTTAAGCAAATCTGAATATTTGAAGCTCACTTCCAAGCTGCCGAATCATTAGTTGTCACTGAATCTCTCTCTTACTCTTTCTAATGACGCTATGTATTTAGAGGCAATATTTTTTTTTTTTACTGAATTACTTTTCCTCTAATTCTAACTGTATTTTTATGAGTTACTCTTGTTCTAGTACTATTTTTCGTCGGCTGGTAATTGTAACCTTCTTATACGAAAAATAAATCAATCTTTTCAACATACCCAAAATGCCCCACATTGAATGTATACAACCCCTGCTACACATGCAATTGCTCTTCATGGAAAGCAAAAGTTATGGGGCAAAACAAGAATATATATTTTTTTCAATATAATATTTCCTATCAATAAAAGACGTTATTGAGCCATGCTCACTTAGCATCAACAATTATTAAATTTTAAAACCCAAAAAAGAATTATTGTTTTTTGGGTTAGGTTAACTTTGGAGTTTGCACAGTGTTGCGGCTCTTGTGCATTAACCACCGAGCCAAGAGCCAAAACCCCCAAAGCAATTTTTTATTAAATAAAAAATGATTGATATCAAAAAGAGGCAAATTCAGTTCTTTATCAAGAGAAATAATCAAATCAAAAAAACGGGAAAAGTGTTTTGTACGGCCGTGGCTTTTTAAAGCTGCATCTGAAATCTCGTGAGGAAGGTAGTTCTCAAGCCGGAAAAACTCTTCAGTCATCTTGACCTCATATTGACAATATATTGAAAAGGGATTCAAAAAAAAATAGATTTTAAGTTTTAAAAATAGTGTATTTTATAACATATTATTTATTTTTGCTATTATTTTTATAGGAGTAATGATCTTTTGAGATCTTCTCAAACTTATGTGTGTAAGACTTCAAAAGATTACTATTAAAATTTAACACAGATCTTTAAAAAAGTCAAATCCCACACCCATATGATAACTTTTTTAGAAATTTGTACAAAATTTAATAATGATTCTTTGGGATCCTATATGGATGTGGGAGGGTCACATAGGATCATTACTCTTTCTATTAATCGTCAAGTCGGTTCAAACCCAATGGGATTACCATATAAGTCTAGGACCCTTTGATTTTTTACTGATTTTAAAGGGTTCACTCCACTTTTTTCAGAGGAAAACACCCACGAGGACTCGCGAGATGGCTCGGGCAATTTTATGAACTAGTAGTTGACCAATTCGACCATTGGTCCCA